CGCAAAAAATAAATTATCCATTTTACTGTCGAAATATTAACTTCTTCAAAATGAGATTTAAAAAAAGTGTACCATTTGTGCCGAATAAATTATACACCGCTTTATAGCTGAAAATAAAAGTTATATAATTTTGATTAGCTGAATTATATATTTTTTTGACGAATGATTGATGAGTGGCATTATGCCGAATAAATCCATTTCGACTAGTGTTAAGTGACCTAAATTGCAAAAAATGATTTTTTTTTTATTTTATATATTTTAAAAAAACTTTTTTAATAATAAGGAACATTTGAATTATATTCTTGCTTTTAATTTAGGAACTTATATTTAACTATCTGACATTACTGTCTAGATATGTATTATTAATCAAAGGATTTTTTGAAAAGTGTAATAGAGGATTGTTCCATTGAATTGTTTTGGCCATATACTGTATAATCTGAATTTTGATTTAATATTGTTAACATCAATCCCAGTGAATTTATCATTTCTCCAGAGCACTTTTTGTATAATATTAAATAATTATTTAGCTTCTTTACTTGAGATATATGATTTGTTTAACTGAATTCTACTAATTCTTTCTTTTTCTTTTCATTGTTTGCTTCTTTTGGTAGTTTTTATTACTTTTTTCTTTGTAATTCCAACTATTCTATTTTGTGACAAGTACTGGATTATGTAAGTTAATTAAAATTTATTTGGTTAGGCAACAATAATTACATGTTCTAATTAAGAAGTTTTTAATTTAGTAAACTTTTATTCTTATTATTGTTTTTTTTTGTTTATCTTTTTTTTTCTTTTTTTCATGTTACTACTCTCTTTCCTTTTTATCTTATCTAGTATGCCTCCATTAAGCTATAATTATATTATATGATCCCACTTAAACTCAAATAGGCTATTTATAATTAATAAGCTATTTAAGATTATAACTAATTTAAACTTCTTTAAAATTATATCATGATTTTACATGTTATTATATATTATAAGTCATTGATTATTGCAAATCAGAATATGTGCCACATTGAAATGTGTTTATATAGTCATGTCCCATATCAATTTTCTGTCAACAGTATATATAACTTCTATCAAATTTTGTTTCATAACTTAGATTATCTTTTGAATTAAAAGAGAAAAGTTAATATTTACTATCCTTCTAGAATAAGTTAATAAATACTGTTAGTGGAGAAATTGCTTAGATAAGACTTGGGGACGTGACATCCACATCATGCACCTAATCGAAGCAATGGAAATACCTTAGTAATTATTCAGATGATGTAATTAGAAGTTTAAATAGTTTATATAGTGTGATAGTTTATGAGTCATATAAATAGGAGTGACAAGAAAAGAAAAAAGAAAAAAAATTCAAATTCGAATAATAACAATAATACTAACTCTAACTTAATTTAGTAATAATAAATTATTTCTCTGGAAGAAGCACGAAACGGTTGTGCGAGTGTTAATTAAAGATTATTAAAAGTGGTGGTGTAATAGATACGTCTAAAAAGGAAGTTGGTAATTAACTCACTCTTCTAGAGTAATGTCACTATGAGAGGATCATTCTGGTAGTCACTAAAAGGGATAGTAACTCAAACAATCGATGAAAGGTGACAAAGGAAAGAAGAAGGTTAATTATAGGTTCAAGATCAGCTAAGTCAAATCCACATCTTGAGTAGAGAAAAGAAGAATAACCTACCTTGACATTATGTAAGTTTGACCTGCCCCAAGTGACAAACTCGCCATTTTAATATAAACAATACTGGTTGAAGAATTTTTTTGTTGTTCTGATTTCAATAGTATTATATATAAAGCTCTACTGAATAATATTAAATATTGCTAGTAAAAAATTGCTAAGAGCCAGACAGGCATTGGTAAGTTCTGTTTTGTACTTATTAATAATTAAATAATTTTTGTAAATTTGAATATAATAGTATTGATAGAAACTAATTTCTTAAAGTATTAATCAAAAGAAAGAATTGTTATTAATATTGAATGTTTGGATAATGTGTTTACTTTTATGTAGTGTGTTAATAATTTTATTAATTATATTTAGTAGTTAATATTTGACAGTATTGAATGGATTGAATAATATCTATAATATTAATGTTATTGAGCTTGTAAATATTGTTTAGCAGAAGCTATAAAATAGTATGTTAACTGGGTATTTTAAATATTTGAATAAATTGTTATATGAGTCAATTATAAAATATTTTTCCTTAAGTACTGTTCCTTTTTAAACAAGTAATTGTCTCTTGTAAATCTTGACTATCATATTTAGACCATATACAAATCAAAATATTGTCTTAAGATTTGAAATTGAACCATATGATCCTGTAAAGTTCTTGTTATTTATATAAGTTTTAAATAATCTTCAATAGTTGATTAGTAAATTTTAAATTGGAAGCATTGTTGTGTTGATTAAAAAAATTATATGATAATAATTGTCTTTTTAATAAAATATATTTATTATTAAATTATTATTTATTAAATTAATATAAAAAGTTGGTAATATAAGTATAATTTTTAACTGCTACTAAAAATTCTATAAGAATTAGTAATATATTGGTAAGAATAAATTGTTAGTATCATATTAATGACTTTTATTATTATATTTCTTCTTTTACTTTTAGATTTATGCTAAGAAATAATCGATTTATATTAAGCATTTGCTTGAAATTAACTATTGTTATAATCCCAAAAATCAAAAAAAATCAAATAGACTTGTATAGACTTGCCTGAAGTTCGAAACACTATTAAAATAATGGTGAATTATAATTCATATGGTAAATTGAATATAAACCTAAGAATCATTAGGATTCTTAGCTATTGTATTGCTCAAATCTTGTTTATTAATTTTAATAGTATATATAGAATTTATTAAAGTTTTAATTTGTAATTAAGTTTGAATTTCTTTACTGATATTGGCCAAATAATTCTAATTATTTTTTTAATAAGTTTAGAAAATATTTTTTTGTATATTGATGCTAAAAATTTTTTATAGCATTAATATTTAATATAGACTTTGTTTATATCAATAATATAATAAATTGTTTTGATTAATAATTGATTAATATTATAGTTAAATCTGATTTTAATGTAAATAATTTGATTGTTAAATATAGTAACTTAAAATTTGGTTTTAAAATTTGATATATATAAAAAGAACTCTTAAAGATAAGCTAGGATATAATTTTGAAAAATCAAAATAAAATAAAGTTACTAAGAGTAAAGCTTAAATATGTGTTAAATTCATTTTAAATAAGTTTATGGTTTAAATAATATATTAACAAATTATTAAAAAACTTAATAGGTAATTAATGTCACCATATTTATAACTGTAAAGTCGTCCCAATACCTACATAAGAGAAATGTATAAAAGTAAAGTAAAAGTTAATAAAGGAAGTGAATTACTTTGCCCGGACAAATCAAAAAACGCCTCATCCATCTTTTAAACACTTAAATTACCGACGGTTACGCGACACTCTGCCCCGAAATAGTACTTAAATGTAATTAATTATATCTACTACTACTCCTTTTTTATCAAATAGCTTAAGAATTTTTCGAGCTTTTTCGGTTTTCTTGCACAAATTTACATCTGTAATATTGGGTGGAAAAGGTTTCATTTCCTTATATATTTTTAATCTTACTGTTTAGCATCTGTTGTAAGGCCTTTAATCCTATTTTCGAATTCTAAAAAATAATATGTAATACCAACATAAAATTTGTTTCTGACCTGATTAAATTGCTTTATCAAATAAGTCTGATAAACTTTGCACAGAGCCCGGAATCATATCTTGTATACAAGACTTACTGTTATTCAAAGATATAGAGTTGATTTCGGGGAAAAAAAATATTTTACGTTTGATTACAGATCATTTCTTGTATTAAACCTTCTACGATTTGATTGTCGGATTCGGATATTTCAATGGAGATAGTATCAAGCGCATAATTTGATTTTGTCTCGGTTTTTGCATCACATGATGGAGACATCATCTTTTCAGATTCAAGATTAACTCAGAATTAATCTTGTTCTCGAAGCTTTTTTCCTTTATTCTCTGAATTATTTCTTCACTAACTTTTCCCTTGTACTTTGAATCCAGGAATCCATCGATCTCCTTATCTTCTAATGAAATGAGCTCAGCTTTTAGCTGGCTTTAGTTGACGCTGACACTATATTTCTTATCAGAGTGATCCTCGATAGGTGGCGGGGAAGATAATTGGGATGTTACTGGCAATGGTGAACAAACTGGAGACTGCGAGATATCATCAATTTTATCAACAGTTTGTTCCAGTTTCATGATTTTGGCCTTAAACTCGTATTGTCTTCTATAATCTATTTTAGTTTTAAGTTTTCGTGTTTAAGCTCAACACTCTCGACCACAAGCTTAGCATTCTCTCGTCTGAGTAAATCTAGTTCGGAAGACATGTTTGACGAAAAAAAACATCGCGTCGATTTACCCGTTTTTTTTGCGCTGATTTAAAGGCAGGCAACCACGAAGCCTTAAAAGATTTATAAAATATAGAGCACATTGTGGAATTTGATGATGAGCAATATGCAAAGCACCCTAATGTAGATATCGATCATGAGTTGGCGACGCTAATGCTAGAATTGGATATAAAATCTCAAAATTTAAATAAGTGGATTAAATTGCACGAAATAATATTATCTAGATCGCAATTTATTTTTTAGCCACATGACATTATTATTTATTTTGGTGAAAAATTGATTTATTATATTGTGGATCAAGTACTCGTGAAGCAACAACGTATTTGCACCTTTGCAGGCTTTGTATACGTCAGATCACGACAATTTTATTCGCCAAGGTTAGAATTTATTCTTGGTATCTCATTAAAATATTAAAGATAGTTTGCACGACCAAAGCGTATAATGGAATTGAATCCTTTTCTGTTTGTGCCAGAAATAATGTAGATCCGTATTCCTCTCTGTTAATATCTTGGAAAATAATAGGCGGATAACCATTGCGGATGAGATATAGTGCCATAATTAAACGACCAACATGTTCGTTACCATCGATAAATGGATGAATATGAAGGAAGGTTGAAAGTATACGACTCGCAATTATAAGAGGATGAAGACCACTATTCTTGCTTTCGTACCAAAATTGTATGAATCTTTCCATCAGTGCGGGCACCTCCATTGGAAGCTACAGAAAATATGATGTAAATCATAATAAAATCTTGATAAAAAAATCTCAAAGCAATACTGTAATAAGTTAGAGCTCACTGGATAAACTGTGGAAACAGAACCACGTGCTTCCACTTCCAACTTTCGGAACTCTCCTGCGTGTTGATGAAGTGAATAATCATAAGCTTGACCCTCCTCTAATTTGACTATCTTCACACGTGTATCTTTTAAAAGAATGCGATGGATTTTCTTGATACCATCAAAGTCAATTTCGTGCTTCCACTTATACGAAATATTATAAAGAAAGTAAGTTGCAAGTAAATGGTTTCGGATTTCGATGACTTCATTTTCTGGCTTATCAGAAAGAACACTTGGTGCAGGTAACAGCATTTCTTGATTTTTCAGAAAATCACTCAAGTTGCAGTTCTTATTCAGCGAGTTCCAAACTTTTTGTGTTTCTTTGAGTCCCAATGTATTCCCTTCTATGGCACAACTTTGCTGTGTAAAGCCCACGGTCAGCCCTTGTAGAAGGTCCACAGATGAAACTTTTGAGGAACCTTTGAGACCATCGATTGCTTTTAAAAAATCGCTATATTCTGCTTGAAAGCCTGTTGATCAAAAAAAAGAAGTTGGCATTTCAATGCGAAAAGTTACAAGAATCCGCAATTTATACCATAATCTTGTGCACGCCACTCAAATGGACGAAAGTAGTCCTCCCAGACTTTCCGGATTTAATAAGTTTGGTCCATTCTTGTGACCCTTCTTTGTGGATCATAAGAGGCGAGTAAACCTGTAGGATAAGTCAGGACGACAGATTTTTGACATGAGTTTCATACAATGATTTTACAAGATAAAGGTAAAACGAAAGGACCTTTGTTAACATGTCAAGTCTCTGCTTACGTCTCCCACTAAGCTCGTAAATTTTTTCGATTGACGAGAATAAACGAAACTGTAAGCGCTTGTGACGACCATAATTGAAGGCAGAACTTGAAATAGGATTTTTACGTAACATGATTTTAAGTTTTAGAAATTTTTTATGAACGCTCCTTCAGCAAAGAAAAAAAAAGCGGTAAACGACGTTGGTAATCAGTATGTGTATATATACTGTAGTATGTAATAAAAGTCTTTAATTTATATATTGAAATAATTTTAATGATAGGTTATTATATATAGATCAATAGAACTTTGAAATAGTTTCTTTTAATAATAAGCTACTTGCTTTTTCTATTAATTTAATAAATAATATTTTAATAATAAATACTGCATATCTTATTATGAAGATAATTAAATATCCAATTATTTTTTTAATACTTAGGTAATTAAACATATGATTTTTTAAATTACTTCTTGTATTTTAATTTTGATTAAAAATTTTTTTATTTTTATTTTTAGTACACAGTCAATATTTTTCTATAAAATTATCATGTAATTATTAATAAAATAAAAATATATTTTTTTAATATATAATAAAAATATAATGAAATACATTTTTATTATTAAAAAAATTTTTTTTGTAAATTTTATCAAAAAGCAAATAGCTCAATATTAAACTAAAAAAAAAAATTTTTTTTTTATTAATAGTTAAATCATAAAAACAATCTTAAAGTTTTGTTAATCTATATTTAATTAATTTATATATTTAATCCATTTTTTGATAATTGATTATTGTTGTTTTTTATAATAACAAAAAAATTTAAAAATTCAATTATTTTTTAAAAAAACTTTTTATATATTTTTATTCTTTATATTTCCAAATACATAAACTCATATTTTTTATTATAACTAGTTAATTCATTCATTATTAGATTTTTAATTTAATGCAAAGGCTTTTGTTATATACTATAAATATTATTTAATAAAGATATTATTTGGAACAAAAGAAATAAATTGGTTGGATTTGTCATTACCATTAACTGTTTTATAATTTTTGATTACTTAAATTAAAATTTGAAAAAAAAAATTTTTTTTAAATAATATAAAATTATAAATTTGTAATATATGTCAATTATCACATAATTACTTTAACTATTTTAATTATTTGTTTGTTTTTTTTATTTTGCTTATTTTAGCTATCATCGTTGTTAACATATTTGGATTATTTTGATTGTTTACTTATTTCTCCATTTCGCTTATTATGCAAATAATTTATATGAATAAATAAATAAAATAAAATCTTTTATAATAGTAATCGTTTAGATAGTTGTTTGGCCTATATAATAGTAACTTTTGTGATAGTATAAATAGTAGTTTGGAATTGCAATTATTTATATGTGAATGAATTCTATGTGTATGTGTATACTAATTGGTTTTGTTAAGAGTGATAAGTTTTATAGAGTTTATTGGATACTCGGATAACTAAAAGACCAGAAAGAAAAAATAATTAAGCCAATGGAAGTATTGTAGAATTCAAAGACAAATTACAGTATATTCCAATTACACAATCTTTATTTTTTATTCTCGTATTATCTAATCATTCTAATCATTAAATATCTTGACTGATACTGTATGAACAAGTTTATTACTAATCCACGAAAATATGTCACGTGACAAGGTCGCGTTTGTTCAACATTCATTCTACCCCTAACAATATCAACTTGGTTGTGCATAAAGTCGCGTTTGTTCAACCTTCATTCTACTTCTAACAACATCAACTTGGTTGCGCACAACTATGTGCAGAACTGCGTAACTCTAAACATAAACATTTCTATGTGCACATTTACGTGCATACATATTACCGGCAAAAAGTAGATTTCTCATCCGAAAATTTTATATTCCGAGTTATTTCTTGCGTTATGAAATACTCGTTAACTTTCCTTCCGCCAAATTTTCTTATTCTTCTGCTAGAATCACAAATTCGAATTTCTCTATCAATCGCACTAACAAAGTTACAAGTATTGTTGGGCCGGAAAACGGCGAGTCAGTCGCTTCACCGGTCTCAGGTTTGCGTCACCAAAGGTAAGTTGAGGCGTGTGTGATTGACTTGGCCGGGCAGTACTAATTAACTTCTCTTCTTTTCTTTCCCGGCACTCGTTTCCTTCTTGATACCCCAGGTTATGTCCTTCTAGCGGCGGTTATCCTTCTTAAAACGGTGCGTACTCAAAAAGGTAAGTTGTTAATTATTACTTTCTCTTTATAGCAACTCAAAGTAGCTATCGTTTCTCTTTTTAATTCTTTCTTTTCTAATTTACTTTGTGTGTACTCTCTCTTTCTTTTGCACTACTGCTATTTATTTACCCACCTGCTTATTAATTATTAATTCCACAGCTATACTATTGATGCATAAATTGATGAGGCTAGACTATCGGGGCTAAAATAAACTATGGGTAAGTTATATA